TTATCATTGACAGAGGCACCTTCCGGGTATTCCTGAGTTTCCAAATATCTCTTCACTTCGTGGTACCAAGGCTTCTCAGTCACCAATTCAGTTTCGAGATCACAACAGTATGCCGGTTCGTCCAGTTTCCAGATGATGATCCGGGGAGCCTCATTATCCCATTTAACTTTGAACATAGAAGACATTGTAGCTAACGCGTCCGCTAACTGATTCTCTTCTCTCGGAAAGTGTTCGAAGGTTATCTCTGTGAAGTGGGGGATAAGGGTCAACACACATTCTCTGTAAGGAATCAGGTTTGGATGTTTCGTATCCCACTCTCCTTTGATCTGATTGATCACAAGAGCGGAATCTCCGAAGACACTTAGAAATTTGATCCTTAAGTCGATCGCAGCTTGAAGACCCATGATGCACGCCTCATACTCCGCCATGTTGTTGGTACAGTTGAAACATAGCCGGGCAGTGAGTGGAGTATGAGTACCTTGTGGAGATATGATGATGGCGCCGATACCATTACCCAAAGCATTGGAGGCTCCGTCAAAGTGCATAGACCATCGGGATCCTGGTTCGGGTCCTTCATCCGGTCCAGGTACTTCACAATCAGTTACTATCATAATGCTTTCATCCAGAAACTCGAAGTTCATTGATTGATAGTCATCTACAGCTTGATGTGCCAGGTGGTCTGCCAATACACTTCCCTTGATGGCTTTCTGGGTTGTATATTGAATGTCGTATTCCGTCAAGATCATTTGCCATCTTGCAATTCTTCCGGACAGAGCAGGCTTTTCGAATATGTACTTTATCGGATCCATCTTTGAGATCAACAAGGTAGTGTGAGTCAGCATATACTGTCTCAGCCGGCGAGCAGCCCATACCAAAGCGCAGCAAGTTTTCTCAAGCAGTGAGTATCGGGTCTCACAGTCGGTAAACTTTTTTCTAAGGTAATAAATGGCATGCTCTTTTCGGCCAGACTCGTCATGCTGCCCCAGCACACACCCCATTGAATTGTCAAGCACTGTCAGGTATAGTATCAGAGGTCTCCCTTCAACCGGTGGCATAAGGATAGGTGGTTCTTGGAGATACTCTTTGATTTTGTCAAAGGCAGCCTGACATTCATCATTCCAACGTACTACCTGATCTTTCTTCAGCAGCTTGAAGATTGGCTCACAGGTAGCGGTTAGATGTGAGATGAACCGAGCAATGTAATTCAGGCGTCCTAAAAAGCCTCTGACTTCCTTCTCTGTCTTAGGAACTGGCATCTCTTGAATAGCTTTGACCTTAGCAGGGTCCACTTGAATACCTTTATCACTGACCACGAAGCCTAGCAATTTTCCAGATCTTACCCCGAAGGTGCATTTGTTCGGGTTCAATCTCAGCTTGTATAGTTTCAACCGGTCAAACAACTTCTGCAGATGATCTAGGTGTTCTTCCTCGGTTTGGGACCTTGTGATCATGTCGTCCACATACACTTCTATCTCATGATGGATCATATCATGGAATAAGGCAACCATGGCACGTTGGTAGGTTGCCCCAGCATTCTTTAACCCGAATGACATGACCTTGTAACAGAAGGTGCCCCACTGAGTAACAAATGTAGTCTTTTCCATGTCTTCAGGTGCCATCTTGATCTGATTGTAACCTGAGAAACCATCCATGAAAGAGAACACCTTGTGCTGTGCTGTATTATCAACAAGGACATCAATGTGAGGTAAGGGGAAGTCATCTTTGGGGCTGGCCCTGTTCAGATCCCTGTAATCGACACACATTCTGACCTTACCGTCCTTCTTAGGTACCGGCACCACATTAGCAACCCACTGAGGGTAAGAAGTCACTGCAAGGAACCCAGCATCAAACTGTTTCATGACCTCGGCTTTAATCTTCTCAGACATCTCTGGACGCATCCGACGGACCTTTTGCTTAACTGGAGGGCAATCTTCCTTAGTCGGCAAGTGATGGACCACAATATCGGTATCCAACCCGGGCATGTCTTCGTAGGACCAGGCAAAGATCTCCATATAATCATGCAGCATCTTGGTTAACCGTTGCTTCACGCTGAGCTCTAGGTTGGCACCAATCTTTACCTCTTTCCTGTCTTCTTCGGTACCCAGGTTTATTGTTTCCACTGGCTCTTCATGGGGTTGAATTGCCTTCTCTTCCTGAAGCAACAGTCTTGCAAGCTCACCAGGCACTTCGCAATCATCTTCACCTTCGTCTTCGGCTAAGTTGATCGGATTTTCGAAGTCATAATTGGCAGTAGCAGAGTTGTTATCAGTGAGATCCAGAGTGGATTGAAACCTGTATGAGTGAGTGTGTGTGTAAATACAGCTGTTTTGAAATATATGAAAAAGGGAAGAAAGACAGAAAAGGAGCACAATATTTGCAATGCGAAAAATACGTCCAAGATTTTCATTCATGATATATGAAATGACAGTTTGTATGCCCTCACAAATAGAACCACGGTGCCTCGGGTAAGACACCGGGCCATAGAGTTTATCATTGTTTATTACAAAATAACAAAACATAGGAATTCATTACTCAGTAACAAGAGAAACAGATAAGTTGTCCTTCGCACTCCAATTGTTGAGTCCACTGTCGGTTGCCGGGTAGATCCAGCTATCAAACTCAGCTTCATCAACTTCCTCTTCGTCCCCAATAGCATTAACTCCATGAGCAGGCAGGGGAGCTGTCACTACATTAGGTTTCTCAGATGCCTCAAACTGTACCTCTTGGGCATCAATAAGGTCCTGCAGCTTGTTCTTTAGTGCCCAACAGTCATCGGTAGAGTGCCCCGGGCTGTCTGAATGGTAAGCACAACGAGCATTCGGGTTGTACTTGGGAGATGCAGTATTTGGAAACTTCGGCGCCTCCCTGACAGTCACTAAATTGGTGGATAGTAACTGTGGCAGGATCTGCGATAGGGTCATGCTTAACCGGGTGAATTCTCTCCGGGGTCTTTCAACCTTCTGAGGATTGTTTGGCCGGGGAGCGGCAGCAGGCTTAGCAATCATTACCGCACTGACAGATTGGCGGTGCTCATGTCTCTCTGATTTCCTGGAACCATATACGGCACTAGACTCCTTCTTGAAGGGTTTCTTTTCAGAACTAGATGATGCACCCTTCGGGATTTTTCCAGACTTTAACCCAGCTTCAATCCTCTCTCCAGTCAAGATCAAATCAGTGAACCCGGCAGAAGAATTCCCAATGAGATGGTTGAAAAACGGCCCAGATAGGGTCCCCAAGAACATGTCTACCAGCTCCCGATCAGTCAACGGTGGCTGCACCCTGCCAGCCAGGTCTCTCCACTTCTGAGCGTACTCCTTAAAACCTTCGCTTGCACCTAACGACATACCCTGGAGTTGGGTACGTGTGGGGGCAAGGTCGGCATTATATTGATACTGCTTATAGAAAGCAGTGGCCAACTCCTCCCAGTTACGAACCTTGGTCCCATCCAGCTGATAGAACCATTCGAGATGAGTCCCTGAAAGACTCTCCTGGAAGAAGTGGATCCATAAATTCTTATCTGCAGAGTACGGCTGAATTTTCCGAACATAGGACCTTAAATGCAGCTTGGGACAAGACGCCCCGTCATACTTAGAGAAGGATGGTGCTTTGAACTTGTGAGGGATGATCACACCAGTTGACAGACCCAGATCTCCGAAATCCAGCCCAGGCACCTGTTGAACCTCCATAGCCTTCAACCTATTCTCCAGTTGCTTATATCTGTCTTCTGCAGGAGGGTACTGCTCCTCATCAAAATCTGTCTCGTTGTCGGAGACTACCGGACTAGGAACCCTTGCTTCTGCCTGAGGATAATTCTTGTCAACAGAAGAACCAGCCTCTTCCTGTTGCAGAGTATTGTTAAACCTTCGGCCCGAGTTGAACAGAACAGTTCTTCTCTTCTTCTTCTTCTCCTTCTTCAGGAGCATAGCCTTCAGTTCTTCTTGGCCTTGAGCCAGACCCTTGATTAGTTCTTGAAACTGCGCATTCTGCGCCTGAAGAGCCTTGATCGATGTCTCAGTTGATGCAGAGTCGGTATTCATGATGCTGAAATAAACAGCGAAGAACTGTAAGCAACCTGAAAAGGGGAAAAACCTGCTATGCACATGATGTATGAAATGCGTATGCAATGCATTCAAGGGTTCGAAAGTTCAAATTTGTTGTAGACAAAAAGGAACACACGTTATCATTAAAGAAATCATTGTTTAATACATCAAGCCTCATGGGCAAAGGTACAAAAATCAAATCAATCCCAAAATATGCTGCGCATCCTCTTTGGAGCTATGTAAGTGTTGAGATTCCTCTCCTCATGCAACAGGCGAGTGAGCTCCAAGACCTTCTTTTCACTGGCATGTAGACTAGTCTCGAGAGAATTCCGCTCTTCCTTAAGCTGGATCCAGCTCTTCTGCATCTCTTCCCAGGATGTGGGCATATCAGGGTGCTGAATAGTGTAGGACATTTCCCCTTCCAAGATTGGTTCTTTGATCACTGGGAGCATATGAGGATAAGGCATTACTAATTTCTGGGAGCGGGCTCGTACCCACTTGAGATAAGGTTCCAACGGGATGGAATTCCTGTGCCCCAGTGTCTTGTTGTCTATCCTACTGGGCATCCTCCAAGCTCTGATAAATCTCTGGCGAAGTCCTTGAGTATCATTGTCGAAGTCAAAAACTATGTCAGGAATTAACATGTCATGAGGGCCATCCCTCTGAGCATAACCAAACTGTCTCCAAGCCAGGCATGGGCTATAAGTAATACCTCCTCTGATTCCAAGTAAAGGAACATTAGGGTATTCCCCGCAACGATCAATGATAGTGACATCTTCTCTGGACCTAGGGCACCAATGTATATCTGCATGTGTAAGAGTCATCAACCGTTGTGACCATCTCAAACCCCGCTCATTCTTCAAGACTGATTGTGGAAGGTGCGAAATAAACCACCTTCCCAGGAGAGGAGTGCAACACATAAGGACACCTCTTTTCCTCATGGTTCGAGTGTAACATGAGTGAAGGATGTCCCCCAGCAACGTAGGTATAGGATTCCTGGACATAAAGATCTGGACAGCACTGATATCAATAAGCTGATCTGGGTTAGGAAACAACACCAAACCATAAACAAGGAGGGCCACAACCTCTTCAAAAGCTTGCAAGTCAAGGGAGTTCCAACATTCAAGGGCTTTTTCAAACAGAAACCTGGCTAAGAACCCTTTGATGCCACTTCTGACTTCCCAATGTCCCTTGAGGTCAGATGACTGTAGGTGCAAGGCTCTAGCAATCTCTTCAAGCTTAGGTTCCTTTTCTGTACCGTTGAAGGGTAGCTGATCAAGGATAGGGATCTTCAGGAGCCGGGAGAACTCCTCCAATGTAGGTACCAACTGATAGTCCAAGAAGGTGAAACAATGATGCCGAGGATCAAAGAATTGGAACAGGACCTTAATCATATCTTCCTCAATGTTAGTGTTGACCAAGCTGATGAGGCTTCCATGTCTTTCACTGAATGATGAGTTCTCAGGAATCCTGGATATAAGCTCCTTAAGCTGAGGAGGGATCCTTACAAGACTGATTTGAATTGTCTTTCTACGAACAGTTTCCATGTCCTACAAAACAAGAACAAAGATGAAAATTCGAACCCCTGAAATGGTTAGTCAATGCATATGATGCTGGATGATGTCATGATGCTATGATTAAACACACCACAGATATTTACAAAGACAAACATGTAAGGCACACAAGGTACACAAGACAAGCCCTTAAGGTTTAAGGCCAGCATGGGGTCTGGGTAGTACCCTCTTGAAGTTGGTGGGTTCAACCTGTCCTAATCAAAGTAACCGGGTTCTAAGGTTCCCAATATCACGGGATTGCTTTCATTGTTCATCGTTTCGATTTAGCCACTGAACTGGCGACCGAAATATTCCAGGAAAGCAACCCTAAATTGAGTGTAGTATCGAGTATCAACCAACCTCGGACTGCACCAAAGTCAGTTATCCCACTACCCTAAAGAGGCCAAGATAGTTCAATTAAGGTTCCTAAGGTCAGTTGATGCTTCACGACACCACGTGGAGGCCCCGTACTCTCCTTGACTGAACTCAAGGGTTACCGGTACACACCAAAGTGCCACATCAACGTAGCAGACTGTTTCAACCATGTCGGTATACCCTGCACAGTTCCCTCACAGCCTTGTTGCTACTTTCTAAGAAAGGTATCCCCCAGATCCGGGTTAGGATCTATAGAACTCCCAAGACAGTCCCAAAATAATAAAGCAAGCAAGTCAATACAATTGAAAACACAGTGATCTTAGTCCTAAGGTACACCCCACTTTAAGTTTTATCCCCAGCAGAGTCGCCAGTTCTGTGATCGGTGGATCTGGAACTGACTATTTAACGCTGGTTCGCGAAATGTCGCGGAAGCAAGAGTCGCCACCGTCTTTTATTTTCTCCAAATGGAAAGGACAAAAGCACAGAAAAATTCCTTATAGAGATTGCTCTCGGTTCGGGAGGTAGATTATAGAAAGGGAAGGTGTTAGCACCCTTTCTATCCATGGTTATCCATGGGCTCTTAGATACTTGCTCATTTGTGTTTTCAAAAATGGTTTGTTTGCTTTTCAACTGTGGGTTTTAGAAAAAGTTTCTTTGAAAATTTCAGTTCGACTCTTGTATCGGTCCTCAAGAGTGTTTGGAAAAATGCTTTCGAAAGCTTTTTGAAAAGGTGTCGGTGTGAAAAGTATTTTTGAATTTTGTTTTGAAATTAGAGCAAGTATCTAGAGTCGTCTACCTACCCTAAGGAATTCGTCTGTGTAGATGTCCTTTAAAGTAGTGCCATCCCACCATTGAGAGGTAGGTAGCACCACCGTTGGAGGTGTTCGGGTCAATTCGAGGGTCGGGACATGGTGATCACCAGAGCAATGGGAAGACACCTTAGAAGCTACCCTCATGCCAGGTTCCCGGATCATGAGGACTTACTAAGACATCCTCTACTCGACGATCACCTTTCGAGGCAAGGCAACAGTGAGGCGTACCCTAGGGGTGGTGTGTGCGAATTGTGTGTCGTTTTCATTTATATTTGTCTTGTCAGGTTTATTGGTGTTCTATGCTTGATTTTATTTAAGTCCATTCATTCTTGCATGCTTTGTTTAACAGTTAAAATATTTGCGAGGAAAAGTAAATCTAAAGCTATTACAAATGGCGCGGGTCCACATCGCCAAAATTAACCCGGACCCGATTTGACAGAAAAGTAAATAAAGAATTTAAGAGTGCGAGAAGTAATTACAAGGCTTCGGGAGAGGTACATAATTATTTAAGCAAAATAAAAATAATAATGCGAGTTAATAAGAAATTAAGAGCGAAACGAGGGCATTGGACCCTTTTGCAAAATATTAAAATTATATGAATTAATTAATTTAAGAAAAGAAATTGTTTTTGTTTTTTTGTATTTCTATGTTTTTAAGATTTAATAAAAAAAAAAGAATTAATCAAAGTATGACGCAAACCCTAATTCTAGTTTATTTTAATTTATTAAGAAAACATTAAAATTCAACCTAAATTAAACCTAATTCTTTTTTATGTACAATTTTAATTATGAAAATAAATAAAATAAATAATATTATTGTGAAAAAGAAAAATTAAAAGGAATGAAATTTATTAAACCTAATTCTATGTTTTTTTTTTATATTTTTATTATGAAAAGAATTAAAGTTGCAACCTATTTTAAGACTAAATTTATTTACATACAATTTGTTTATGAAAATAATTAAAATAAAGTATTTATTACATTTTGTAAAAAAAATAATTAATTAAATCAAACAAGTAAAGAAAATAAAATAACAATTGAAAATAAAATATAAGAAAAATAGAAAATTGTAAACCAGGGGGGGTGGAAGTCCCAAATTAGGAGGTATGGGCTCAACAATCTGGCCCATTTAGCTTTGGCCTCATTGGACTTTTTAGAATCACGTGTGGTGCGTTGACTAGGGCGTAGCGTGTTCTTTGAATCCATACCCTTGATTTGATCTCCCAGGACGCGTGGCTGTGGGGTTCTTGAAGGCGTATGGTAGTCCTTAAGGTTGTGCCTGCATAGGAAGATAATTGGAAAAATAATATGGACATAATACAGACCTGGGGCTCGAACCCAGGTCACTAGCATCACCAATCAACACCTGTGCCACTGAGCCACTTCAACGCATTTGTTATATAATAAACAAACAAATAATATAAAAAGAAAGTGGGTTAATGCTGGGAAACGCGCGCGAATTTTTGAACACGCCAATCAGCGTGTGCCACGACCTCGTCTTCCTCACTATCCCTGAAACATAAAATATGAGGCAACGGTTTTATGAATGTTCTTTTAGGCCGTTTTCAAGAAAATAGCGAATAGCGCTATAGGGTTCATAAATTAATCGCGAGTGTGGTATCCTCTTCGTCCAGATGCACTGATTCGAATGGTATGGGTCTGAAGGGCTAATTTTTCTTTAGATAAGAAACCCCAATTTTGAGGTCCTGCAAACCCTAGCAATTGGCAATGGTGAAATCGTACACAAGGCGTAAAAATGCAATCAAAGTATATGGTTAGTTGGCAAATGCTTTACTGATCACAAATATGTAAACAAAACAGCGTGAATGAGCCTAGAATGTAAAACACGATAATGAAAATAAAGGGAGAAAGGCTAGCTTCTGTATAACGATTCAGGAGGTTATAGACTTGGAAACCTATGCAGGCACGTTGCTGGAGACTTAAGGAAGATGATGAGATCAAAATCTCAGCTTGAATCGCCCTCCAATGTGATTTTCAGTTTTGAGTTTCTTGAGAAAAATTCAAGTTTGTCAATGGCTCTTTAGCGCAGCTTTTGTGTCTCTTGTGATTAGGTTTATGATCAGGCATATGTAGTGAGTCTATTAGGTTAACAAAATTCAATCAAATCTCTTGTAATCATGGTTTTGAATATTTGATTTCTTAAGATCTTTTTTCAATCTTTTTCAAGTGTTCTTTGTTCTCAATCAAGCCAATCAACCCAAATCTTTCCTAATTTGCATATGCACGAAATATTGATGATATAATGTGCACAAAAAGATTGAAAAAACTTAGGTTAGCATTTTTCATATATTTAATTTGATTTAAATGAATTAATATGAATAAAAATTCAAATAAATAAATAAAAAATGAGGAAATACTTCCCTTTGGGCCAAGTGGTCGTGCACATGTCATGGATGATGAATCATGGAAGAAAAATGGGCCCATTAGCAATTTTAGGTCATTTGAAGTAGTGTTGACTTTTCAAAATATCCAAAAATTTCCCAACTTCCACAAGGCATAACTTGCTCAATGTTTAAGCTTTTCTCATGTTCTTGGACATTTTGGAAAGGTCTTTGAGTCCTATAACCAATGTCTTTGGTCCCATGTCATTTTGATTTACCAATCTCAAGTTATGGCCTTTGACTTAAAGTCCCTTTTTGTTGACTTTTGAAAATGACCTATAATGTTGAAATTGATAACTTTTTGTGAGAGCATTTCTTGGACTTGAAGTATGAAGATGAGTTGTAGGAAATGTCTTTCTCTTCAAAAATGAGCTTTGGATGGAATTTTTCTGATAATCCATGTGAAAGTTATGCCCTGGTCAATTTCAGTTGACTTTTTCAGCTGTCCAAATAAGGAAACTTTTGCATCTTGATGATTTTCTGAGCCAAATTTTGAGAATCATGATCAAGCATTGATCAAATGATGTTTGTGGCTTCAAAATGATATGTTGACCAAAAATTTGAACTTTTGACTGCCAAATGACCATTTTGCCCCTACAATTGACTGTAGTGCAACTTAGGGTCTTGACTGTGCAATTTTGAGCTGAATGCCTTGAAACTTGATATGAGGATACTTGACCATATTTGTAGGCATATGAGACTTGATTGGACCTTTGAACACTCCATTTTCTTGATCAGAACACAAACCCTAGTTTTGACTGTATAGGAGACCTTTGCACTGTGCAACCCTTGGGGAATTTTGCAGCTTGACTTGGTAATTTCTTGGAGAATATGGGAGGGCAAATTTTGGGGTACAACAGGATCAACTTCATAATATGCTCACGATACGGAATCAAATTCAGGTGAAGAGTCTCCCAATCTCCGTTAATCTGACTAATCATATGGGTAGAATCCCCATATACTTCAAAGATCTTTATTCGTAAAGCAATAGCAGCTTCTAACCCAAAGATACAAGCGTCATACTTGGCCATATTATTGGTGTAATCAAAGAAAATTATCGCAGTGAAAGGAGTATGAAAACCTTCAGGAGAAGTAATTACAACACCGACACCATTACCTAATACATTGAAGGAACCATAGAACATCATCGTCCATCGCGATTCTGGTTCGGGTCCTCCTTCTGGATCGGGTGTTGTACCCCAAAATTTTCCCTTTTTATTTTCTATTCCTAATTGACTTATACTTTATTAACATTCATATCATTGGATCCATGCTCACGGATCAAGGTATTTTTGGCAATACAACAAATCTCCCGTATTTCTTCAACGCATGTCGAGTTATGGAATATTTGGACGTTTTCGGTGAATTTTAAGCAGTGCGAACAGGAAACCATTTTTCAACAGATTTGAGTTTGGAAATTCATATCTCCTTTTTGGAACAATATTTTGGATTTATTTTTGAGGTGTTAAAACCGTCTCGATGTTCTCTTCAACTTTGGTGTTTGAACCAAAATCTAAATCTCGAAGGAAGGTCTCCGAATATACCATTCTTTTGGAAGTTATACAGTGAAAAAATACAAAGGAAGTGGGTTGAACCGTTATTTCGTGTGCACTAAAAAATTCACAACTTTTGGATGGAATGTCGCATGCGCGTGGTTCTGATTGCAAAAATTTTGTCTCGATGTCATCTTGATGTTGTCTTTGGAGGCTAAAAGCTGATTCACAGAGGAAGGAACTGTGAATTTTTTTGAAGACAAGTTTGTGCTAAACCGGAATTCATTTGTATTAATGTTTGATATAGTAAAATTGATATCTCATTTGATTGTTACTGTATTGAGCTAGGTCTGGTGGCGTTGGTTCACAAATTTCATCTACTACAATTTATCTTCAAATGCTAAAAGCAAACGATAACCTGAATACCTTCGTTTTTGATCCAAATGATGCACAACGCATTGAAAATCCTGAACCGAGAAATATTTTCATCTGAGAGAAAACTTCAAAAAATCATAACTAAATCACCGCTTATCCGATTAAGTCTGTTCTTTTGTAAATATGTCAAAAATGTTGTTATCTTCATTTTCCATTTGACAGCCTAATAGAGATTTTATACGGATGGCGTGGCCCATTATTGTCGTGCCAGGCTTATGCTTTCAAGTCAAAGCCCAATCCAAGTGCACATCTAAGGCCCAATTCGCTCACACTATATAATCTTAAATCTGATTTTTGTTAGGGGAGAGCCTGATAATTCACAAATTATCATAAACAAAAAAATATTTCCTCTCAATTCTCTCAAAGATCAAATCAAGTTTTTCTCTACTTTTTCATTAAGAACACAACAACAACTTCATCAAGATCCAAGAACAAATCAAGAGCAGTTCTTCTTTGATCTTTGATCCGTTCATTGTGATCTCTATACCTAAGCATCGTCTTCACTTCTATCGATGAGTTTTCTTAAATTAAGCACTTTTTGAAATAAGTGATTATTGAGAAGCACTTTTTCATAAAGCTTGAATTAAGTCTAGGTTGAATTTGAATTTTGAAATTGAAGTTGTTGTTAGTTTAGCTCAATACTAATTTTTAGAATTGGTAGGATTTGACATGTAAATCTAACATAGAATTTCGCTTGTAGAACTTTAGCACACTAGGTGTTTGTTCAATTTCCTATTAGAATTAACATAGAGTAGAAATTAACATAGAGTATACTTTAGAACATGTGTTTGTGCTAGTCTTGTGTTGATTTTTGACTTTGATCCTGGCTAGATTAGGAATTGGTTGAATTGACATATTATTGTGATTCTAATTTCCTAGTTTGTTCAATAATATTTTGTGTTGATTGATAATTGTTGTTGACGTGATTCAAGGTAATATACTAACATAATGCTTGCAATATGCTAACAATTGGTGCCAATTAGATGTATGTGCTAATATTTCTTCAAGTTACTAACACTTTCCTCTCTTTTTACATAATGCTTGAGTTTTGTTATTTGACGTGATTTCTTGTGTTTGACAATTTCCATGAGTTAAGATAGTTTTGAATAGACTCTAGCATCATTACAAAACATGTTTGACACAACTTGGCTTGAGTTTAGTGAAAATTTGCTCAACACTTGAAAATTGGCCGAAATCAACATAATCGGTGTTTTTGTCGTAACTTTTAATCCGTGATGAATTTTTTTGACTTTTCATAATGAAAACCGATTTTCCGAAGCCATCCGAAGTTTTCCATTAGAATGATTTTTCAATTCGGACAATTTTCACCATGTTTTATTGATACTAGAACTATTAGGAAATTGCATTTTCGGATGAAATTTGGTCGAATCGATCGCATTTTTGAAACCGTTTGCGTGTGTATAGGTTCCATTAATTTTCATAATTCATTCCGGGGAATTTTGAGGTTTTGCCGATGAGTCGGGTTCAGTTTTACAACATGTACATTTTTTTTTGCTTGTAATATGGTATTTTACATTAATTCTTGTTTGTGTTAACACCATTTTCTTTAGTTTATGTAACCTCTAGTTTGTGATGATGCTAACTTAGTTTAGTTTACATAGACTAATAGCATATCACTACTAACTTGTGGTTTGTTCTCTAATTCTAAGTTGCTTACATAACCTTTGCCATAACACTAATATTGTTGCTACTTTCATACTTTGGCCATGTTCTCTCAATTTAAACTTTATGTGCAATTTATAAGTTTGTAGATATTTGTTGACTCTTGCTAGAAATACTTGTTTATTTGAGTTGTGACATGTTCCAAATAGCTCAAGGCATCCTATAAACTCTTTTCAAATGCCAAAACTTGAGTCAATTGAAAAATGACACAAACACTCAAATTTTCCGGCTCTTGTAATATAATCCCCATTTTGTCATAACTTTTTGATCTGTGATGAGTTTTTTTTCGACTTTTCTTAATGAAAACCATGTTTTTCAATGCTTTCGGAGCTGTTCACGGGATTACTTTTTCGTTTAGGGCATTTTTATCACTTTTTTGCTACTGTATAGAACTCTAAAAAGGTCTAAAAGTCTTATTTCCAGGAAGAATTAATTAAAACCAACCTTGTTTTTGGGACATTTGCAATCAATCGTGTAAATTTTGTTTAATTCTGAGCAACCAATGTTTGACGCCTTTTTTCCCGATTTCATCGATTTCGGTTACAATTAACACGTGTAAAGCTGCTTTGACTTGCATCCATGTTTAATTAGCAATAGTGTAATAATTCACTTAATTTTTCTTGATTTGGATTCCTTCCGTTCTTACATTGTAAATTGACATAACACTTTTTTACCGTTTCATATCATTTTCCAGTTTTCATGTTTTCAACTCATGTTGTAACTTTTAGTTGCTCTCTCGTTATCTCTGACTTGTTTGTTGAGTTTGTACAAGGATTGCATAGAGATATTTCAACACCTCTCGTTTGCTCAGTATTCAATTTTATTTGTGGGATACTGCATCTTTTGTCGGATTCTCGGTGCTCCACTTTATGTGTTGGCACCACCTTTGCTTATCACCTTTTCTCTCGTGCAAGGAGTATAGGCCGTTGTGTTATATATATTATTGTTGATTGCTGGTTATTTGCACGGTTATGTACGACACACACTGTTGTCTTTGCATTTTGATGCCTTGTACATAATTTGACACTGTGTATTGTTGATGCTTAGCTTGTACGAGGGCCTCTGGGTTTCTTAGTTGCTTTTGCTGTTATATAAGGATTGTTATCCATTTGGTACATTTCCTTTCTATTTTCATTCCGCATTTTATTGCTTTCTAGAGATCGTGTCAAGTAGGGGTTTTACCGCTTTCCTTACCATGAGAAGTAGGAATAGAGATGCATGACGGGGATCTCCGTTGCTGATCATGTCAGGAATCCTACTAGTTTATTTTAAGACCCGTTTAGGGAAATTCTGCATTGTGTGCATTTTGTGTGCTACTTGTGCTTGTTTAAAATACTACCTTTGAAGTAGGTATTTTGCAAGTGTGTTTACATTTTATGCTCGCATATACTACAGATGATAAGTCCTCGAAAGGAGGCGAGCAGAGAGGGTTCACAATCAACCCCCGTACATTATAGTTTGTGCCATCCTTAGCTCACGTTGTATGTGACGCTTTGGTGTGCCAATCTTTTGTATCGAGTCGGTCATGTGGAAAAGGGATTTGTAATCGATTCTCCATACTTTGTCTTGAGCTCGCGTTGGAAGACGTTGATGCTCCGTGTTTTTCCGATCCCATTCCCGCTTGTTTGCCTTGATAGGTATGACCCTTTGGCTAAAGCTTCCCGCTTCATCCCTTTTTTCGCTTGTTTTCCTCGGTTGATATGAACCCTTGGCTAAATTACCCCTATTGTATTTTGTACCTACCTCGATTTGCGATATCTTAGTTAGGCCATTTTGCTTGAGCTAGTGTGCACTACTCTTCCCATGTAGGTGATCCCTTTGTTCGAGCTTGCTACTTTGAGACACATTACTCTCGCCATGTATGCATTCCCCTTTGCTTGTTTGGGATACACTAATCTCGCCATGTGCGTGATTCCTTTACTTGCTTGCTTTGTATATACCATACTCCCTTATGATGTGCTTGTTTCTTTCTCGATTCGAGCTAGACCTTAGGATAGTAATCCATGCATGCTAACATAAATATATATTTCCCCTTTATCCTTGACATAGGGCCATCTTTGTATGATAACATTAGGGATTAGATTCTAGATAGTCTCCCTTAGATGTTTTCTTTCTTTTTGCATCTTTTCATTTAAAACTAAAACTTTATTTTTCCTTAAACTAATAAAAAACTCTCTAAAAACTTAAACCCCTTTCTTAAAGTAAAAAACACTAATCAACTCCTTTCTTTTTTACAAACGACTTTTCTCTTCTAAGAGCATGTTAGTGAAGAATGGATAAACACAAGAAAGGGGGGTTTGGATTGGGGTTTTTAAAACTTAAAGAAAAGAACACGTTGGTTATCCTGGTTCGTTTGAACTCAAACTACTCCAGTCCACCCACCAAGGTGATTTCGCCTCTCTTAACAAGGTCTTAATCCACTAATCAAACTTGATTACAATACTACTATGACAACTGTCAAAGTCTTCTTGAGTTTAAACCACAAGCCGGTTTTCTCAAGGAATTTCACTAAACAATATTGAATAAAAGTGTACAAGAATGTTTTATAATAATACAGTATCACAAGTGATATTTTACACAGTTTGAATTTTGAACGTTTGAGGATGATAAAGATATCTTCGTTACTGAGCGTGAAAAATCATGAACGATTTATCCTTCAAAATTTGTTTAAATAGGCGAAGCATGTAGGATCTTTTGGAATGTTGATAAATAATAAATAAAGAGCTTTCCAAAAATAGAGATCATTGTTTCCTTCCATCCGTTACTCTTGAAATGGTAATAATTGATTTGTAACGCTTCAGAACATGCTTGCTTCAGAAGATGAAAGTTTATGTTGCTTCTTTTCAGAGCTTTGTGGATCAGAAACACAAAGTCCTATTTGTAGTGTTAGAACTTCTTTAAGAGATGTTTAGAATCAGAGTTGAAACAACTTTTTAACTCATCTTCTGATCTTCTTCCATCAGAACTTCTCTGCAAAACAAAATATAAATTTAGGGAGCATAATTGTTCTTTGTGTTTGTTATCATCAAAACTCTTACAAGGGTTGTAGAATCAAACTATGTTCTAACAATCTCCCCCTTTTTGATGATGACAAAAACATGGATATTTCAATAGAAATTGAAAGAACATAAAGCATTTTAAGGTCTCCCCCTGAGTTGAATACTCAGATAGATAAGAAATACTTCCCTGAAGTTTATTCTGATTAGAGTTTTTGATGCATCTACTTCTGTCTTCAACAGAGTTTGTTCCTATTTTTCTTTCAGAAAAAAAATGGTAGAAGTTATGATATTCAAAAATGTTTGAGACTGCGTCTCGATACTGTTATTAGAAATATCTTACGTTCTCCCCCTTTTTGTCAAGAATCAAAAATCAATATAAACACTTTAAGCAATAAAAGATGAATTGTATTCAAAAGGATTGCAATAAAACATTCAGAAGGAAAAAAAAGTGAACACAGTAAAGAAAAAAATTTCAAAACTAAGATTGAGGTGGAGGAAGTCGTGTGAACAAGGCTTCCAACAAATTCTTAATCTGAGTGTTTGACTCTTCTTGTTTTCCCAGTATCCCTTTGATTTCCTTGCATGTGTCATCTTGCTTGTCGAGTCTCTCCTTGAACATTGCATTTTCTTTCTTTAACTCCTTCAGAGTTTGCAGAACCAGAGATGAAGAAGGTATATCAACAGAAGGTAACACCTTTTCAGAGCAAGCTACGGCTGATTTAGACTCAGTAGCTTCTTCAACTTCCTTGCCTTCGTCTTGAAAGGTAACCAGAGGCAAAGGATCAGAGGATGCTTCATCATATTCTGAAGGTTGGTGATCTTCCCAGGGGGCATTGTCCAGCAGAAGGAGAGGTTTCTTTTCTCAGTGACGCGGAACTTGATCTTTGAAGACTTTCAGATGATCACATAAGTTCTATTGAGCAATTTCATAACTCAACTCCTTAAGTTTCTGGGACTCAGAATTGAACCATTTTTTGAACTGGCTCCAGTGTGAATCAGAAGCAGCAGGATTAAGATTCTCTAAGCAGGCTAACTTCAGAGAGTTAACCCATTCAAGTATTTCTGTTTCAAAAATCAGCAAATTTTTACAAACATCTGGTTTGGTGATTTTTGGTTTTGGTTTTGGTATGGCAATTTTTTGAGAGCATGAGACAAGATTTTCCAGAGCTTCTAGGTCTATAATGGTGCAAAGGTGATCTCCTGGATGGTTGTTTGGAGAGGGAGAATCAGATATAATAATTGGTGAATCTGGTGTGTTTGGTGGAGTGGAATGATAAGGAGATGGAATTTTTGGGATGTCGTGGATTGTGATTGGTTGTTGAACCATGAGAGGGCATGTTATTCCAGGAATGGATGTAGTGGTATCATAGTCAAAATTTGGATTTTCTGAGTAGGGAGCATGAAAGTTTGGATTTTATGAGTGGAGCGCTTGAGAGTTTGGATTTTCTAAGTGATGAGCTTGAAATAATGGATCAAATTGATCAATATCAGAAAGAACTTGATCTAGTTCAGGCTGATTTTGGTCAAGATGGGTAGAAGGTGGATCATCCAGAATGTTGTCTAGAGTAAGTGAGGGGTCAAATTCAATGTCAAAGTCATCAAAGGTTTGTGGTGATGGATCTTCTGAGGGTTTTGGAGAGGATCGGGTTTCAAATGTTGATAAAAGAACTGATTCCATAATAGAAATAAAAGATGAATTACCTTTCTTCTTAGCAGCCTTGGGAACCTTCTGAGAAGATCCTACTCTAGCAGTTTTCCTTTTCCTTGATTTTTTAAGGATAATCTCCGGAGCCTGTTATCGCAGATCATGAATGTTCACTTCTGGATTTGTCCCGTCCATTTTGCAAGCCTCCAGATATCTGACAATAATTTTTGGAGAAGCATTTGTTTGAGAGAAGAGAGGAAAATTCTTCATAGGTACTCGTCTCATTGTGATGACTTCCTTTGTTGCTAATGTTGGATCCTTCTTGATGGTGTCAATGATCTTCATTTTCTTCAGATTCTTCGCATTCATAGGTTTACCAGCACATGCTTCCAGAGTGCTGACCTGTTGAGCCTCAGTCAGATATTCTACCAGTTTGTTTTTCGCCAGAATATCTGATATGAGCCTGCCCATAGGTATCCATCCCCTCTTAGTTCTTTCTTCTTCTCTAGTCTCTTTGACGCTGGTCTTCAGATGATTAAATAGCAGATGAGGAAGATTGACCTTTGCCTTTGTTGCTATGAAGTACAGCAGAAATTGTTGATCAATGTTGATTTATTCTGGAGAACTTGTGGGTTTTCTGTGGTTGATGTAGCCCAAGATGATTTTTGACCAAATTATGAAGTAGTCTTTCAGATCTTTGATTTTGTTTGAAGGTTTGCCAAAAGAAAATATCTCTTTTGGAATCTCTGTTAGGTCAGAGCATTTATCTGCCATGTCGCTACAATGAATGCCTCCGCCGTCATAACCTATCAAATGCGCAATAGGATGTTCAGAAGTTACTATTTTCTTTCCCATCACAAAAGAAGTAACTTGATGATTTGAAGTAGTAGCGTGAATCCAAGATTCTTTAACTAATCTTGGAAATACTGGACCCAGTAGACGATCAAAATACTTTGTCCACCCTTGAAATTCAACATCAAGAGTAAGATTGTTTCCGTTTTCCTTCATACTGACGAAGTCCACAATGAGTTCACACGGAACTTCTAGAGAATCAATGGGAGTTAGGAGTGTTCTTGAAGGTTCTTCATACTTGTCTGCTGTTAAATAAGAAGAGCCAGAAACACTTTGAGAGCTTTGAGCAGTTTGAGAAGAAGCCATTTTTTACACAGACTTTTGAAGGTTTTTGAAGAAAAAAACTGAACACAAGTAGTAAAGAGAATAAGTGAGAGTGAAAAAGTGAAAGTGAAAGTGAGCGGTGTATTTATAGAAAAATAGAAAACTTAATTAACAAGAAAAGCGTGAAAAGAAATGATTACATATTATTAGTGATTCCTGAAAATAGGGAGATGGTGTAGAGATATAAAATAGTTACTGATACGACACGCGTCTCAATGCATCCAATCAATGCTTTAGTCTCTTCAGAATTTGAACACGTGTTCAGCCTTAGAAGAAACTCTTGTGAGAGGATGGCAGATGTTGATGTTGTGAGTTGCATGCTTCTATCTTTGAAATGAACCGTTTGGGAATTGTTCAGATCTTCTTAGATAGATCCTGATATAACTTTCCTTCTAACTTCTGAAGAATTATTGATCAGATGTTCACATAAAAAACATAAAATTCTAAGGGTTAAAGAATACATAAATAAAACTCTTATTCTTGACATAATTTAATGCTGAGAAGTTTCAGAATGAAATTAAACCTATCTTTAGAAAGGGGTTTAGTGAAGACATCAGCCCATTGATGGTCTGTGTCAATAAATTTTAATGAAAGAATTCATTTCTGAATATAGTCCCTAATGAAGTGATGTCTTATTTCTATATTCTTAGCCTTAGAATGTAAAATAGGATTTATAGATAAACAAATGGCAGAAGTATTGTCAGAGTATAGGAATGTTACTCTCAAATATTTGAAGTCTTCAAGATGACTTTTCATCCAGAGCATTTATGTGTTGCATCCAGCTGTTGCTATATATTCAGCTTCAGCAGTTGATAGTGCAATGGTGGATTGCCTGTTGTTGGACCATGAGATAAGATTTTCTCCCATAAATTGGCAGCTTCTAGAAGTACTTTTTATTTTTATTCTGTCTCCAGCAAAGTCAGCATTACAATACCCTACTAAATTGTATTTTGGTTTTTCTATAACACAAACCAAGATTAGTAGTACCTTTTAGATACTTGAAAATTCGCTTAACAACTGTTAAGTGAGATTCTCTAGGATCTGATTGGAATCTAGAACACAGACATACACTATATAGAATATCAGGTCTTGAAGCTGTAAGATATAGGAGAGAACTAATCATACCTCTGTAGATCTTCTGCTATACCTTCTTACTTACCTCTTCCTTTTCCATAATGCATGTAGGATGCATGGGAGTTTTAGCTGGCTTACATTCTGATAGGTCAAATTTCTTCAGAAGTTCTTTGACATACTTGCTTTGATGTATGTATGTTCCTTATGGAGTTTGATTGATCTGGATACCTAGAAAGAACTTAAGTTCTCCCATCAAGCTCATTTCAAACTCTTTCTGCATAGACTTAGCAAATTCTCTTCCCATAGAGGCTTTAGTAGATCCAAAAATAATATCATCTACATAAATTTGAAAAACTAGAATGTCATTTTTAAATGGCTTATAGAATAAAGTTGTGTCCACCTTTCCTCTGGTAAAATCATTTTCTAACAGAAAGCTACTTAGTCTTTCATACCAAGCTCTAGGAGCTTGTTTCAGACCATATAGTGGTTTCTTTAGTTTAAATACATATTATGCATGTTTTGAATTATCAAAACCAGAGGGTTGGTGCACATAAACTTCTTCATCAATGTAACCATTTAAGAATTCACTTTTGACATCCATCTGATAGAGAATGATGCCATTATTTACAGCAAAAGAAATTAACAGTCTGATAAATTCTAACCTGGCGACTGGAGCAAAGGTTTTTGCATAGTCTATCCCCTCTTGTTGACTATAACCTTGTGCCACCAGCCGTGCTTTGTTTCTGATGACTTCTCCTTGTTCATTCAGTTTGTTTCTGAATACCCATTTGGTTCCAATGATGTTGAACCCTTTTGGTTTAGGAACCAGATCCCACACATCGTTTCTGGTGAATTGGTTTAACTCTTCCTGCATCGCAAGTATCCAATCATTGTCCAGAAGAGCTTCATCAATGGAAGTTGGCTCAATCAGAGACACTAATCCCATGAGAGATTCTTAATAGTTTATGAATGTGGATCTTGTTCAGATTGGGTCTTCTTTCTTTCCCAGAATTTTGTCTTTCAGATGAGCTAAGTTGCTTCTGGATTGTATTTTCTGCAGGGCCTCTTCAGTTGTTGCTGGAATGTTTGTGACGTCTTCTTCTGGAGTTGACTGTGATTCTTTGAGATAAACTTCTGATGCAGTATCTCCAGTACCTGTAAATTGGACTTCTATATCTGCAAAAGATTTATCTTGATTTGACTTTTGAGAGCCAAGCTTATCATCAAATCTGACACTGATTGACTCTTCTACAATCTCTGTTTCTCTGTTGTATACTCTATAGCCTCTTGAGCGTTCAGAGTATCCTAACATAACACACTTTTGTACTTTAGAGTCAAACTTTTTTAGATGTTCTTTAGTGTTCGGAATAAAACAAGTGCATCCAAATGGATGGAAATACGAGATGTTGGGCTTTCTGTTCTTCCATAGTTCATATGGAGTCTTATCTAGAATAGGTCTTATAGATATTCTATTATGAATGTAACACACTATGTTAATTTCTTCTGCCCAGAAGTTCTTAGCAATGTTAGTCTCGTTGGTCATGGTTCTGGCTATTTCTTGTAAAATTTTGTTCTTTCGTTCTACAACTCCATTTAGTTTAGGAGTTCTAGGACAAGAGAAATCATGAGAGATGCCATTCTCATTAAAAAATAGTTCAAATTTTTTGTTTTCAAATTCTCCACCATGATCGCTTCTGACTTTAACAATTCTAAGATCTTTTTCATTTTGGAGTTGGTTATAGAATGCAAAGAACACAGAATGTGACTCGTCCTTGTGTCTTAAGAACTTTACCCATGTCCATCTGCTATATTCATCTACGATCACTAATCCATACTTCTTGCCACTAATGGATGCAGTTTTCACTGGTCCAAATAGATCTATATGCAGAAGTTCTAATGGTCTAGAGGTAGTAACAACATTTTTTGTTTTAAAAGAGGGTTTTACAAACTTGCCTTTTTGACATGCTTCACACAGAGCATCTGAGCTGAACTTCAGGTTAGGAAGTCCTATGACCAGATTGAGTTTGTTAATTTGAGATATTCTTCTCATACTAACATGCCTCAATCTTCTGTGCCAGACCAATTACTCATCATTAACAGACAATAGGAATTTTACATTCTGACTTTTCAGTTCATAAAGTTTTATTTTGTAAATGTTGTTCTTTCTCATTCCATTAAAGTGGATAGATCCATCTTTCTGACTAACTACTTTACATGACTTTTGATTGAAGATTATATCATAACCGTTATCACTTAATTGACTTATGGATAACAAGTTATGTATTAATCCATCTACTAACAAAACATTCGTTATAGAGGGAAGAGTACCGTTACCAATAGTTCCAGAGCCAATGAACTTCCCCTTCTGATTTCCTCTGAAACCTATGTAGCCTCCTGATTTAAGCTCCAGGATTTGGAACATATGCTTTCTTTCCATCATATGTCGAGAGCATCCAGAGTCCAATTACCAAGATTGGTGTTTCAATCTTTCTATTAAAGATATCTGCAACATAGACAATTTTATCCTTAGGTGCCCATATCTTTTTGGGTCCTTGTTTGTTAGAGTTACCAAAGTTCTGTTTGACTTTTGGTTTAGCAGAAAAAGCATTACTAGTATACTTTAAATCATGTGTATGCCCATAGGTAAAGTGATAATTCAGAGGTGTGCGTTTAATTACCAAATCCTTAACTTTCTTAGGTTGAGATACTTTACCTTTGTATCCTATTCCTTTTCTGCCATTTCTGCTAACTCCATAGATCATTGAAGCCATCTTGCTTCTATCTATGTTTTTAGCAAGAAATTTCTGAAAGCTATGATCATATTCCTTTATGATCTTATCAGGGTTACTAGGAACTTCTGAGATAGTTTCATTCTGAGCATTTTGTAATTTATTTTCAAGTTTTGAAATTGTTTCTTTCAGCTCAGAGTTTTCTGATCTCAGTTGCTTAGTTTCTTCAAAGTCAGAAACTAAATCCTTTTTCAGGTTCTTGTTTATGACT